TCGCGATACATATTGATATTGAATTATTGTCCAGCCCTAGTCCACACATAAGCTGTCTGGGATGTTATGGTGCTATCACCTCTTCCACATTCATCTGGGATCTTAGACTCACCAGGTCAACGTAGTTCTGTCTGCAGTAGTTCAGGGCTTCATCCCACGTCTTATTCTGATGCACCAGAATGGGCTCAAAGACCTCCATACAGTAGAATGGTAGAGGCCAAGAGCACAGAGCATTGTGCAGTTTAGCATTAGATCTTTTTCAATGCCACACTCTTCAGTGACCCTGTTTGGCTCCCAAATGTCCAAATAGTCTATTTTTTGATCCTCACCTCCAGACCAACTCTTTTCTAGGTTGTTAGAAATCATGTGCAGTCAGGAAAGGCCCATGAGCTGGGACTTGAACTCGGGACGCCCAAAGCGCAACAGCCCTATTTCGGTGCACTGCCCACAAGGCTATTGGCAGCAACATTTTTTATATATTTTTTTTTTTAGAATTTACGTAATAAATACTATGCATTCCTTGTGTGTTTTTTTTTCTCCGAGGAACACTATTTACATTTACATTGTCCCATCTTGTTGCCTCTTCACTGCCTTTGCATTCGCTCAGCATAAATGTCGTAGTCAGGCTTTTAGTATTTGAGAAACAAATGTTTACAGAACCCTCACACTTGCACATCCAGGCAAATCTGCTGATCAATTCAAGCAAATACAAGACTAACAAACACCAGATTGTATGAAATCCTGATTTATGACACTCATCGAAATGGAGTTAGGACTTTTAAATCTGGGTTATGTAGCTCAGACAGGAGAAAAATATGATCTCTTATATTATGAGCTGTCCTGTAACAGACTCAGATTCAACTAGCTGATATTCAGAGAAGTGTGAAATCAATCATTTGAAATGAAATAATAAAGAATAATAAACTTTAGCAGCATTAACCATGAGCCTCAAAGAAGAGGAGTTATCGTCTGTATAAGGAAAAGATGTGAGACCTATTACAGTAGGCGGAGACAATTTAAGCATTTCCTGTAGAGTCAATAAGAGGAAGTAGATGTTCAGAACAGATTGAGCTTTGCTGAGGACCAACTTATGCATTGAGCTTTTCATGTAATTTACATTAGTAATACTAATAATTTGTTCAATAAAAAGATACATTACAAAAGCATAATTCAGGAAACAGAGAAGGCTTAAAACAAATCTGTTGGTTAGTATAAAATGTATTTATACATTTACTATTATGTGTCATTGTTGCACATAAATTAGATTCAGAACAGAAAGCTTAGATTATGCCTAAAGAAGTTACACAATAGCATGTGTTGTTTGCTTTTGAATGTTTGTATATCAAAGTTTAGATGTTTTCCAACCACAAGATTGACCCTCTTTCACAGCAACAAAACCACATGATCTACCAAGCAGTATTCTCACGAGACTTTAACAAACGCTCCTCCTTCTTCACAACAAACTGTGACGGTTATGGAAATAACAGAACTAAGCTTCAAAGCTGTCTAAAATAATGTGAGAACAAATCAATTTTGTTGCACACAGCTGTAGTTGAGATTTGTGTGTATTGACAACATTAATTGTGTACACGGTATATCATACCAAACATTACAGATGAATTATAGATTAGACTTTTAAATTAAGATTTTGTATTTTTCTGGGGAAAAATAGCAGGTGAAAAAGCAATTTTAATAAACAACTACGATTAAAAGTTCAAAAGCAACAAGTCAAAAATATTCTCCTGAATTAATTGAGAGACCAAAGCTGTTAAAGCAGGAAAGAATTTGATCTATGGATTGCATTCATGCTAATAAACCTACCTTACAATTAGAGGAACAAAAATACCTTTGTGTACAAAAGAAATGTGAGCAACCGTTCTGTTGTTTGTAGTTTGCACAGGCTTGATGCAACATGCACTTGTGGTTTTGGACTCTGAGCCCAACCTATTGCTCAGTTTGCAGCCAACCTGCAAGAATGAAAATAGAAAAACGCATTTAGAAAGCCCCCAGCAGAGCTCACATTTCTGTGGTCAGAAGTTTCCATACCAGCTTAAGTGTAGTGTAAAAACTGTTACTTTTAGAAGTATGACAATTGTCCTCATGCCTTCAAGGTGGAATGTCAACAAATGGTCTGTTTTACAGTAAAACATCAAAACAATGCACCAAAACAATGTAAATAAATTCATTACCCAGACAAGATGAAATTAATAATTGTCTTTATGCTAACATAATAGAACTTTATAAATTCACAATCAACCCTAAATCGCATCTAACTTTTTCCGTTTAATTGCACACATTACATACTTTTTTTTTCTTTTGTTTATTTTTTAATAACTTTTTGAAAAGTAATAGGGTCAAATGTGTCTTACTAATACTTAGGAATAAAATAACCTTTTAAACCAAAACACAAAAAGCAAGCACCTATGTACAGTATATTTGCTGTTAAGTGTGTGACACATGATCAAAGACAATATAATTGAGGATTTTCTAGAATGTGAGATGAAAAGACACATGTTAAAAATATAAGACAATCAATCAAAACATGAATTTTGGGGTTGTTTTACATAGTTTTAAATAAGTTCACTTTTGATATGTCGTTAATTGTAAAAAAACAACAACAAAAAAACAAAACCCGCAACAACTAGCTCATTTCATTTGATTATTCTTTATAGTTTAATATCTTAATTAAAAATATAATGTGCAAGGATAAATTATTTATAATGAACACAGCAATATTCTATAAAAAAAGGGAATTGTCAAGTTTGATCTCATAGTGACTTTAAGGCCCACTGATTCCCTTACGTAAATCGTTTTCTGAATATCTTTGAGATTAGAATCTTTGATTGATTTGAATCTCCATCATTACATCTCGGCTTCAGTATTAGTCTTATTTTCTGTTGCTGGATTGATAACATTGTGGTCATCAATGTAACGTACATAACTACTGAAGCATTATTTTGTTGAAGCCATAAACTCACTTAACATGATTCAGCACCATGGACAAGGACAAGTCGAACAATACAGCACTCCAGCTCTACTTCTTGTGTAAATGAAAATAGAAAAAATAAAATGTAAAAACAAGCTTGATTAACCTACAAAGCTTAGTAACCTCATCTACACAGGCCAAGCAACACCCCCTCACATAGAGCTGCTGTGGTTTTTAACCGGTTAAGGCACACACTTAATTTATTTTGGTTTTCCCCAAGTTCATTTAAATTTATTTAAAATGTACAATTAAATAGCAACAAGTACTTCAAAGAGAAAAACTGAGCATAGCTGTACAATTAGTCATCAAAACTTTATTTATTTGCTTAAAGCGGCAAGTTTACATTTCCACTTTCCACCAGATTTTATTATTTTGAATCTCCATCATTACATCTCGGCTTCAGTATTAGTCTTATTTTCTGTTGCTGGATTGATAACATTGTGGTCATCAATGTAACGTACATAACTACTGAAGCATTATTTTGTTGAAGCCATAAACCCACTTAACATGATTCAGCACCATGGACAAGGACATGTCGAACAATACAGCACTCCAGCTCTACTTCTTGTGTAAATGAAAATAGAAAAAATTAAATGTAAAAACAAGCTTGATTAACCTACAAAGCTTAGTAACCTCATCTACACAGGCCAAGCAACACCCCCTCGCATAGAGCTGCTGTGGTTTTTAACCGGTTAAGGCACGCACTTAATTTATTTTGGTTTTGCCCAAGTTCATTTAAATTTATTTAAAATGTACAATTAAATAGCAACAAGTACTTCAAAGAGAAAAACTGAGCATAGCTGTACAATTAGTCATCAAAACTTTATTTATTTGCTTAAAGCGGCAAGTTTACATTTCCACTTTCCACCAGATTTTATTTTATTTTTTATTATTTATGTGTTTTCATTTTTGGTGTTCATAAGAAGAAAATCCATTTCCTTTGCTTGTGAGAGTGTCACCTTACACCCAAAATCTACAGCCAATGAAATTTGAATTTGTCATATGAGAATATATGAGAATAACCAATCACATCCAGGATCAGTTTCCATTTGATTTAGTTACTTAGATTGTGCACCTTGTCATCTCTTATTCTTTGCTAGCAAATCAAAGCAACATGAGCAGAGTTTTACTCCTTACCTTTGTTTGTAAGTACAATTGACAGATTTTTAATTGTGTTAAAAATGACAAATTATATATTAATATTAATTTGATCAGACATTTATCCAAAGCAATACTAAAATGAATTTTACATATAATATTTGTGTAACACATTTACTGCTTTTTCAATTTAGGTTGCGTTGGGGCACAAAGCATTGAGCAGCCAAAACGTTTGCAAGCCTCTAAACTGGGTGATAATGTCACTATTGAGTGCTACTTACCCAATAAAGATTTTAACAATATAGTGTGGTACAAGCAGGACATGGGAATGAAGCTTCAAATCATTTCAAAAAGTTACATTTACCTGACAAAGGTTGATTTTACTGATGGATATAATGATGGTCGTTTTAATGTAACAATAAGCAAAGGCATTTATCATTTACATATTTCCTTGACAAAAAAGGAAGATATAGCAACATACTTTTGTGGAGTGATAACTTTGGGAGAACTGTATTTTGGACCTGGAACATTTTTGATGCTTAATGGTATGTTTGAACTTTCATTGTGTGTTATATTCATGTTTAAAATAATAAATATTGTCTCTAATGAAGAGACTATAAAAGTTATGTTTTTTTGTTTTGTTTTAAAGAAGAGCACATCTCAACAATGGTTCTTCAGGAGCCTGTTTCAGATAAAGTTCACATTGGAGACAACATTACCCTCACATGTAGAGTCCAAACGGTAGATGAGAAATGTGAAGGAGGACACCATGCTTACTGGTTCAGAGAGGCTGAAGAAGAATCCAGTCCTGGCATCATTTACACTGATGGAGATATGAAGAAACATGGAGAGATCTGTAAGGATGATTCTACTAAACAATCCTGCGTTCACACCCTTAAAAAGAGGAACCTCAGCCTTTCTGATGCTGGTACTTATTACTGTGCTGTACTCATGTGCGGCAAGATCATGTTTGGAAATGGAACTTATCTGGAATTCAGCTCAACACCTGGTAAAGTCTTAAACTATAAAGTGAATTACAATTTGTTTATTAATACTTGTAATATTTTCAATGTGTTTCTTTATAATGTTATCATAAATACTTCATCATGTCAGTATAATTGTTATGCCTTTTGACAAAACATTATAAATAACAAAATGTTTAATTACATAAAACATAATAAATATCTGTTTACTTACGGTCCACTACTGCATCACTCTAATAGTTTGTATATATCTTTGGTATAAAAAAATAATACAAATGTATTTTTAATACTATGTTTCAAACTAAATAGCAGTTTTTTTTAAGTTAACAAGATTTCCATCCAATAAGATTTGTGAAGTATTTTTATGTTTAAACAGATGATTTTTATGTATTTATTTATTTGCAGATAGCGGGTTGACAACAAGTCCTTTGTTTCTCATATTGGTGTCATCAAACATAATTTCTATGATAATAATGATCTTACTCGTGGCTGTGCAATGTAAAGACCAAGGCAGCTCATCAGGTATCATGTTTTTCTTTAAATCCAATTCCTAGTTTTATTTGCAAAACTATAAAGCTCTTTTGAATCATTTACTTTGTGTCAGTCAACAGATCTTGTAATCAAGAGACATCTGAAGGTATTCAGGTAAATCCTCACAGTTTTATTTTTATAGTGATACATTTGATGTCATTTTGATGCTATTTCAGAAGTTTCTTGAACGCACTGAACAACTGTATATTACGTTTGTTTCCTAAGAAAAATTAGGAAAGTTAAATTTTTTCAACAATTTAAAGTTTACTTTCCTTAAAAATATGTAACAGTTTATGAACAGATGCTTTACCAACAGAATTATTTGAAATGATCAAGCATCTTTCTTTATCAGGTTGGGGATGCAGATGTTTTGACTTACACATCTGTGAGTTTCAGCAGTAAATCACGGCCCTCTAGAAGTGCTAAAAAACACAACATTTTCCAGCATGCCGATGTCTATTCACAGATCAGGTCCTAAAAGAGGAAACACTGGAAAGCCTAAACATGTTTTCTGTACTTTAGTGATCCAAATGTGCCAATGCATAAAGCATGGTGAACTAAACAGATACAATCAAATGTTATAAAATATTATGCTATAAAATATCTGTTGTAAAATAGCTGTTATCATTGAGTCAGAGTCACAAATAAAAAAATCCTTGCTATTAAAATATTTTGCCTTTGACATTTTTGCTTTTTAGATTTTTGTTTTGTTTTTGCCTTTTATTATTTATATATTATTTTCTTTTATATAAGGTTACAGAATACTGCTTAGCCTGGGCAGTCAAAGCTAACACCTTAGATACCAAACATGACACCAGGCCTGTTGTTCTCAGAGTTTTTTTTCTTTTTATACTTTCCCTTATCCTAGTTTTTGTGAAAAGACAACTGAAAACAACTGACTCGTGAATATTGCTCTATTTGTCTGAGAGGCCAGGATCTAAAAAAAAAATACAAGCTGTCCTCTCATTGTTATTTTTTATTTATTTTTTCCTCACTGATGATGCCACATAAATGCTGATGGCACAGTACCAAACCCTTTGTGACTGTCCAGAGCACACAGTGAAAATTAAATTAAGTCCAAAATTGAGTCCATCTCAAGTTATAAAGAGCACTCCGAAATGGAAATGACCACAATTATTTTCTATACTGGTAATACATTTTAGCGTTAAATATGTTGATTGCAAAATGACTGCATGATAATGGTGAACTTTGACCTGTGATTTATCGTAGTGCACGACCTTTCACCAACTGAGGATTTACATTTACATTTGAATTTGTATTTAAATTCACAGGCTGACCTCCAAAGAACAAACTTCAAAGAAACATCTTTGCAGTTTTGTGAGAAAGTGGAACACTAATTCCACATTTTTGCATATATTTTTTTTACATTTATTATTTGTTTATTAAAAACAGAAGCTCTGTGACATCATATCTTGTGACCATCATATTTCAGTGTCTGAAGAAGTTTCCTCCAAGTGTAGTGTTTCCACACAATAAGTATTAATGGCCATCAAGGGAGAAAGATGCAAGTATTGTTGCAAAACTTACACATCACCATTAAGCAAGCTATCAAATGAACCTTCTAATTGGCTTCATTAATTCAGTTGTTTAGCTCTGAGTTGTCTAACAAGCAACAGCAGGGTGTTCTTTAATGGGTGTATTTCCTTTAAATACATATTACTGAATTATAAATTAGGACATTTTGAAGGTATTTTACTCACTGATATGAGAGGACTGCACCAGGAACTTTCTAGGCCACAGACTATATAATTTTTTAGGTGTGGGCGTTTGTAGCCTCACCACCAATGCTAAAACCAAACAGACTTTCACACGCTAATGACAGCTTCTCTTGAGGTGAAAGGTGATTTTGTCTATATGGTGGTCTATATAAGGCACAGTTCAAAGCCTGTCCCCCCTTAGATCTCTGAGAACTCTGATCATGTGAGAAGCGGTCTTGTTGACACTCTTCATACTCAACATATGTAAGCTAATTCGCTCTTGATCCATATTACACTGTCAGTACTTGAGTATGGCAGAAATAGTTATTATAACAGGCCTATTTTGTGGTTTCCTCTGTAGGTGAAAAAATGAATGCAAATGTTTATGAAACATGTAAAGTTTTAAAATGTGATGCAAGCTTCTATAATATACAAGAACATAAAGGCTTCATTTTTAGTACTGAAAGTTCAACAGGACCCTTACATTATCAATGCATGCGGAGTAACCAAACCATTTGTGGAAATGTATATCTCTATTTTAAAGGTAAGAACTACTTCAGTGATTACTACTAAAATAGAAAGGTTATTGTATTACAAGAATTTAGCAATGGAAAAATGCCTTATGAACCTAGGATGCTGATGCTTATATTTATTTTTATATATTATAATTGAATATGTTCAGAACTTTAAATGCTTTGCCAATAATCATTTTGAGAGTCAACATTTTTTTTTTGCTGTTAATTGTTTCTTGTACATTACTCATGTTCTGGCTTATTCATTTGCATAACCAAAATGTTTCGCCCATGTTTTAGAGAATCAAAACTGGCCTTACCATGTGGTATTTGTCTTCAATACTCTCATTTTGCTCTTGAGTGGAATAATCAACATACTGCTATGTAAAAGACTGAGAAGACGAAGTGAATTGCATGAAGGTACATTTCAATTATGATATAAAGGGCTTAGTTGTTTTAACCCCATTATTTATTTTCTACTTCCTTTTTTACTTTCCCTGCACTACAAAGCAAGTTTTAATTTGTTTCAGAAGTTTCTGACCCTTCTCCACCAGACACATCAGAGCCTGATGTCAGTTCTTCTCATGTAAGTCAGAATCTCTTAATCTTTTATTTTGACAGTGTAGTATTTACATTCATGCACTTCTTCTAAAACTTACATTGCATTCAAAGTATACTTTTTAGCAGTTCATGCATTCACTGGGAATTTAACCCATAGTGCTGCTACCGTAATGATCAACAGATTGAGCATCAGGAACGCAACAGATAAAGTTGCAGTGCTAAAAGTTGCTATGTGCATTCAGTGAGCAAATTCCTCCCCTTTTCTCCCCTCACAGAATCAAGATAGTCTGAACCCAAACTACACAACCCTACAATTCCCTGAAAACAATCCCAGTAGAGAGAGTTCGGAGATTGAGCAAAGAATGAGAAGAAAGGATACAATTTACTCCAGCCTTAAATGTCAAATGACGGACATCACTGAAGAAAGCTAAGCTATTTTTTGTCCTTCGCATATTGTTTCGAACTGCAGCACAGTTTTATTGTTTATTTATTATTTTTATTTTAATAACAATGACAAAACCTTATGTCTTACTATGTAGATTGTTAGCTCCTTAATAGGGGTGAAGGCAATTTGTAGTTGGAGCTGTTTAACCTGGACAGATACTTCACTCCTGCAAAATATACTTTCCTGCTTTCAGTATATTTCGCAACATTATTATAAAAATTGAACTTCTAATTTACAGTTCCTGTTTTAGTAGCTGTTTAGCTTATAGTCCCTGATCAATATTCAACTGATATTATCAAAACTGGCCCTGATCAATATTAAAACTTATATGCACTCAAACTAAAGCAGAACTTGGAATCATTTAAAGGTGACATTTCATGAAAATCTGACTTTTTCCGTGTTTAAGTGCTATAATCGGGTCCCCAGTGCATCCACCAAACCAGGAGATGTGAAAAAGATTATCCCAGTAACTTTGTTTTTCGTTAAGCTTTTTCCTGCAAGCGTCTGAAAAAACGAGGGCATCAGATTTCACTCCCTCTGCGACCTGGCAAAGGGATCTTGTTATAATATCACCACCCCTTAAACTGCACGTATCCACCCACGGCGCCATCATTCTGTTTTCGCAAACGACAATGGTGTACCAGCTCTAGGGCCATGGCAAAAGTTCAAGCAAAGCATGCTAACTGTTCTATCGTTAGCTGCACAGACGATCACAGAACAATATTTAGAGTCTCAGCCTCAGAGGAGAAGAGGGCAGTGGATTTATTTACTGTATATTACGCTGCTGCCACACAGATCTAATATAAGCATGCGATTTCTTTCCCAGCTGTTTACCTTCACTGACATAACCGACTGTTTTTGTAACACATGTGTTTTGAACAAACTTTTGTGTATCTGACAGTGTAAGCACAACAAGACATTAAAGAGAACTTAGTTTTGTGCTCACATGCCGTGTGACAGCGCTTTCTGTGCGCGTGCTTCAGATGTGTGTGCTCAGAAAACCCTATATCAGAAGTTTAAACTTATATGGCTAAACTGTCACAGTCCCACCTGTGGGACACTTGGCGCTCTTTTTTATGTTATCCTTTTTCTCTATCAAATCTTTTAGTAATCATCATAAATCATATATCATTTGAAAGCTTAGAAGCCCAAGATTCATCCTGTGAAACCCATTTTGAAATCGGACATTGCTTTAGAATGGAAATGGTACTTTAAAATCTTTTGGCGGTCTCCTCCCCCTTAGTGGGCGGTGTCAAGTGTCATATTACAAAATGCATTACGGTCTTTTAGAATCAAACCTTTTTATAATATTGACAAAAAACATATCATTGGAAAGGTCTGAGTCTCAGGATTCCATATTTGGTGATAGAAGTAATATTGACAAAGAAATCTAGACATTTGTGACAGAAAAATGCATTAAACAATTCAATGGAGTTTGGATGGCACCCGGTGGATGTTTGTGGTATAAATAAAATCTCACAGGAACCTCAATTTTTTTCATGTCAACTTCAAATTTGGAACATAACTTATTTAGACATAAGGCTTTAATTGTATACCAATTTTAGAGTAAAACCTGTTATGTAAAATATTTATTATATATCAAATTAAATTAAATTAATATAGTGAATTTTCTTTACAGTAAATTTAAACTACCATAACTTTTTGATACTTTTATTCCACTTTTGCGATAATCTTCTGATTTTCTTCTTTAAAAAGAGACCAACATTATGTCTGTATTCCAAAGTGTTCATAAATTACAACAATTTAAGTTTGGATAGTACACCTGCATGCCTATTTAAAAAAATGGGGGTGACAGTTAAGGGGTTTAAAACGCATGATTTCAGCATGATAGACATGACAATCAAAACCAAACAAATGGTTTTTATCAGAGTATCTTACGTATGAGCTGTTAAGGCACAGCCCTATTCTGGAAAAGGGGGAGGGGAGCAGCAGCTCAATTGCATTTAAAGATACGGGCAAAAAAAAAAGTGTGTTTCTGCTTCCTCTCAAAATAGGCATTTTCAAAATTGTATATTAAATGATCTATGGGGTATTTTGAGCTGAAACCTGATGGACACATTCTGGGGACACCTGAGACATATATTACATATTGTAGAAAGGGGCATAATAGGTCACTTTTAAGAATGAATATGTCAAAGTTGAAGGGTTCAGAACATAATAATAATAATAATAATATCAATAATAATAACATCCAGTATCTCTGGTACTTTCCTTGTTTGTCTTCTTTTATGTCTTGTAATGGGGTCAGAGGCAAATATGCATATATATATAATGAGCTGTAGAGACCCTTGTACGTGCCCACAAGAACCAGTTACTAAGAGAGAAACATCATGTGGTTTCAACGACAGGATGGAACACAAAGTGGCCTATTTGTCAAAGTTTCCTAAAGGTTCATTGTTGTAGCATATCATTATAGAACAAAAACAGACCACCACAACTAATCAAAACTAAGTGTAAAAAATTAAGAATACATATGTAATGCAAAGTTTGTAAAATATCATTATTCAGATGGTTAGTCTGTCATTTTTATTTCAGCTAAGTACGTCTGGCCTTTTTTATAACCTCTTGTTTTCCTATTTGAATGATTTTTATGCTCCATTCAATTTGTTATCACAAACATTTTTTTTCTAAAGTGCATAATCTAGCTATGCTTAGCTATAATCTAAGCATAATCTTAAGCAAGTTAACTTCTAATTTCCTTTAAAATAAATGTTAGAATTTGACAAATCCTAAAAAATGTACCATTAACTGGCAGTCCCACTTTTTTTAACCAAGACCTGAAAAAGACATTTCCAATTTAAAGGGGTGATGACATGAGAAACCAAATTTGCCTTGATCTTCTGGCATATAAGAGGTCTTTGTACCATTAAAACTTCCTGCAAGTTTCATAGTTTAAGACGTCCTCCCCATTATAAACGAAGCATTTATTTAATCAAGCTCCAAATACTGCTCGTTGTGGATCCTATGGGGCATTGAGACGTCACCTAGCACCAGTTGTTTGCATATGACCGCCTCCAGCGCAAGACAACTACGCCTAATTCTGCATAATTGCATCGTTGTCACGCCCACAGGTGTTCAGTCGATGTGCAGCGAGTGGGTCTGAAGAAGTAGCTGTTTACAATAAGATTGCAATGCCACACAGATGTGCAGTTGCAGGCTGTGGAAAAACAACATGTTTGAATATGTTGCTGAAGGATCCAGACGTCAGGGAAAAATGGATTCAGTTTATTTTTTCGAACGTCCCAGTCATGTCAGTGTTAATTTACGCACGTGTTCACTACATTTCACGGACGACTGTTTTGAGAACAAATCACAGTATGACTGTTTGAATATGTTGCTGAAGGATCCAGACGTCAGGGAAAAATGGATTCAGTTTATTTTTTCGAACGTCCCAGTCATGTCAGTGTTAATTTACGCACGTGTTCACTACATTTCATGGACGACTGTTTTGAGAACAAATCACAGTATGATGCTGGCTTTGCCAGAACACTTTTGCTCAAAGATCAGGCCGTGCCGACTATTCTGGACCCAACAACGCCGCCGCAAACTATAAGTAATGTATTTCATGTAAAAACTACTTTTTAAAATGTTAATTGCAGTTTAATTCATAATGAATAATCACAGTGTTTTTACTTAGTTTACTTGCATATTGTTTTCAGAGTCCCTCACGTTCAGGCCCCGTGTTAAAAGACATTAGCCAATCATAACAGTGGGCGGTTACACTGAACTCTTAAAGGGGAAATCCCCTCAAAACCGAATGTTTGACTCAGAGGATGAGAAACAGTGTGGAAAAAGGTCATAAATCACTACATTTTTTAAGTTTTTATCCAAAAAACTATAGCAATATTATAACTGCACATAAGGGAACATAATAAAACAAACCAAAAAACCCATGTCATGACCTCTTTAAATTGTTGTAAATGTTGAATGCTTTAGAGCACATAGCTACCTAAGGTTGGTCCCTTTTGAAAGCAGACCCTTATTTTAGAGGTGAAAAATGTTTATAAAAGTACATTTAAAAAAAGTTTATGAAATTGTACATATCTACATTTTTATATTGTACATAAACTATATACTTTATAAAACATGTTGCACTCTAAAACTGCTATAAAATCAAAGTCATAAATCTAAACAATTAGTGTTCCAAATGTGAGGTTGATATCGGAAAGAAAAAAAAAAGCTTTCAGGTTGAATTTGTTTAAACTTTTCTACAATAACCTGTAAGCTCCACTGGCGATCCATACAGCATATGAATGAACCCACTTCTCACATGACTGCAGCAATCAAAATCATATATATCCATACTATTCACAGAATTCATGAAGTAGACATTATATGTAGAAGTTATATAGGAAGTATGGCAATATTTTATTTGATTTCAACCTCCAACATGCACAACATGGACACATAAAGGACATGCGGACAAAATTGTAAACTCAGACATAAATGGAGAATCTATTGATATTTCTTCATATACTAAACATTTTTAGAGCTTTTTTTTCTCAAAAAACTTTGACACAAATTCATAAACTACTTTTGCTCATTTCAATCAATATATACAGAAACTAGATTCTCAAGGTTTTGAAATGATACATACTGTACAGTAGTTTGTTAAGATTAGTTTAGGTTTAGAATAAAATTGTATTGTTATAAATATATAATAACAAACCTTCCACCAGTGGGTTTAAAGTATGGTGTCAAAATGTGTCCGCAATAAAGGGGTCTGCTTGGTTAACCAATGAAAGGCAACTCTGCCATCTCACAACATCTACCAATCAGCTCAAACAACATTTTCCTTTTGGTGGCCTGTCTCTCATTCTTCACAATGAGCAAATGCTTAGAAAAGATGCATGCTGTCAGTGCAATCATCCTTGCTTTTTGTAAGTGCAATCATCCTTGCTTCATCTTCTTCTCAAATATATTGTTTATTTCATGACATTTGTTATGTACTTTTTAAATTCAGGTTGCTTTATAGCCCAAGCTATTAACCAACCAAAACCTGTGCAACAAGCCAAAATTGGAGCCAGTGTGACAATAGAATGTCATTTTCTCAAAAAAGATTTTAATCTCATTGTGTGGTACAAGCAACTATTAGTAAAGAACCCGCAGCACATAGCAATGTCCTATCATAGGAACAATGTCCATTTTCTAAAAGGTTTTGATGATGGATGCCTCAGTGTGACAACAGGGAACTAATCATCTAAACATATTCAGAATGACACAAGAGAATGTAACAACTTACTATTGTGGCGTAAATAAGTTCACAGCATTGTATTTCAGTCCTGGAAGGTTTTTGATGATAACAAGTATTAAGTTGTATCACTGCAAAGCTTTGAACTCGTTCAGTCGATTATCTAAACAATGAACTGTTATATTTTGGATACATTTTTAAGGAAAACATTCAAATATGAGGAGAATTCTACAGCAAACTCATTTAAAACCTGTTCATTTTGGTGATAACATCATTTTGCAGTGTACAGTTCAATTTATGGAGGGATGTGCACAAAATGTCTACGCAAAGCTCAGGAGAATCCATGTCTAGAATTATAGATGGCCACAAAGATGCTTATTTTAAAATGGCAGCTACACAAACATTACATAATGTTTATAACTTCACAATGAGGATCCTCACACTCCCTGATACTGGTACCTACTACTGTGCCATGGATGCAGATGGAGAAATAATCATTGGACATGGAACTAAACTGACTATCGCTGACATGGGTAATATTCAGAGCATTGATTTTATTGAATGTTCATGAATGCTGTGCTGGTACTTTAAAAACATAACTATGTGCAATACGTGCTTAATTATTATAATCATAGTCAAACAACATAAAAAACAGAGACACTCTGCAGATAAGTGCATTCTTATCTGTATTTGTTATGCTTTATTAATAGTTGCCTAATATTTGTTTAATATTAATAGTTGTCTAATCACAGATTTTCCTCACGTCTATACTGAAAGCTCACTGAATTGAGACATCCTCCTCTATCCAAGTAAGTCTATTTCATCTAATTGTCTAAGTAAGTGTAATTTGAAATACTTCCCAAGAACATCTACTGTCTAGATTGTTGCTATATTATATTCATGTTGATGAGAAAGTGAATGTTCAGAACTTGCAAATCACAATTATTCAAAATAGCTGTTCTGGGTGAAGTACTGTATATTCTATTACATTTTGATCTTTTTCGTTTTACGGTCATATTTTGTATGTTTATACAATAATAAAGTAATGACTTATTTACTGATGAAATATTAGGCTTGTTGCATCTTTTAAACACTTGCATTGTTCTCATGTGAAGGTAAAGCATATATTCTCATTGTTATTTCTGCTTCCTCTAATAGATTTTGCTTGGACATTCACTAAATTAGATGCCCACATCAGAAAAATCACAAAATTAGTTGGTTACGAGAATGTTTCCTGCACAATACAAAATACCACCCTAGAGGTTCAGCATGTTCTGGGCTTAAATACCCTTGTTATTTGTGTGATTAGTGTGTGTGAAAATTGTACTGTCAAACATGTTTATTCATTGGTTTAATGTAGTTTTAAAGCGTGTTTGTGTCCCGAAGAACATCTATCCAATCCCCACTCTGTTATGGAATAAATATATGAGTTGAGAACATTTTAATCTCTGAAATGTGTATGCATTTCTCATTTCTGCCTAATTCAGATATTAAACCTAATTTGCAAGACATGAGTTTGAAAAAAAGTACATGCCACGGTAGTTTTGTACTTCTCTGAGAACCAGAAACAAACATGGTTTGACATTGGACATTTTATTTCTAATATGGAAACAGTTGTAAGGTCAAAAATTATCAAAGATTTCTGCTTTCCTGTCCCAAACCTATCTTCAGTAACAAAAGGGCCATTTGGAATTCCTGAAGGCACAGAGGTGCTGATAGTGATCAATGCCTGTAGGCCAACATGTGTATACACCGGGGGTCTGCTAATTGTCACACCTTTTGCCCAGTGGGTGAAGTTATAATCTGCTGATTGGTCAGTTTGAATGTCTCACATTTGGTTTTTAGTCACATGGTCAAGGAAGGGATAAAAGAGGACTGTAACTGTTGCTCTGTGTCTTTTCTTGGCTGCCTCTCTTCTTGGGTCTCTGCCCTCTCTCCCTCTTTTTCTTCCTCTCTCTATCTCTTTCTCTCAGGTAATATTTTACATGTTGGGTACAATTAACTATGCTTTACCATCCTTCATCTATTTTGTAACCAATTCAAGTGTAACCATAACAAAATATTGTTATTAAACCATTTCAATTATTAATTATGTGCTAACTAGTCTTGATTCAAGGTTCATCTTAAAGTGTTACCTATTGCAATACAATAGTCACACAATAGCAACGCTCTCCCACATATGTAGCTATTCTAACTGCGCTTATTTCCGTCGTTGGTATAAGTGGCAGTGGGTGGTAATAGATTAGAAATGTACAGTTTTATACCATCGTGCTGATAACGTTTCTTTAGTCATTCGGCAATCCTACAGCCTGAACCACCGTAGGAAAACCATCCTTACACAGTCATGAAAAAAACATTACGTTGCATGACACAAAAGTTAATAGGTTAAAATTATGTCTTTGTTTATCATCCTTTGTTACATATTATGGATGATCAAAAGCTGATTTCCTCAACAGACCTGGTCTTCTGGTCGGGATTGTCTATCTCGGAAAGCAATGGCAGATGGAGAACAGCCATCTTTTGAAATTCTTTTTGAATTCATGCAGTACCAAAAAGTAATCGTGGCAATAGTAATTAAAAGAAGGAATGTTCTAACGATGGAAAGAATTACAAAAGTCATCATCTGTTCTGCTAAGTCAGCACCTGAAATAGACAAAATTATGGATATAATGTAAACACACCATAAAAGTGCTACTTTTTAAACCATTCATTCTTGAAGAACATACCTATAATGTCCAGTTTGGTGTCATTCCAAAACAGCATCTCCCCACATGCAGCAACAGTGCAGTTGTAAGTCCCAGAATCAGAAAGTTTCAGGTCTTTCTTAGAGAAGCTGTAAACGCATCTACGTGCTCTAAAACCAGCTTCAGAGCTCCACTCACACTGACCAATACTCGTTCCATGTGCGGCAATAAATGTTGAGCGAGATTTTTCTGATTCCTGTATGATCCAGTACACACTGTTGTTTCCCACACATTTCTTATTTAAAACTGTGCAGGTAAGACTCACTGAATCTCCACGATGTGATGGAATTAAAGCAGGTTGTTTTATAACAGTGTAGCTTTTCAACCCTGCATGAAAAATTCCATTATTGAGTGAGTTTTATGTAAGATGTATAGAATACCCATGTACATTGCATTCCAATATTGCACTTAAAAGTTATAGCATAGCTTTACCACCACTATAAACTCTTAAACATAAAGGTTCTTTATTGGCATTGACAGTTCCATGAAGTGCTTTTAACATCTATGGAACCTTTTCCCTTCCACAAAAGGTTCTTTAGATTATTTACAAGAAGAAAAAAGGGTTCTTTTAAGAACTGTTCACTGAAAGGTTCTGTTGGGAACCCAAATAGTTATTATATTGCATTTCTGCCAAAACACCCTTTTGAAACCTCAAAATAACTCAATATTATTCCTCAAATATTATAAATAACTCTACAATTACTCAAAATTATAATTACCTTCAACTATCAATTCTGTCCCTTCGACAAATTCCATTACATTGGAATAAGCACTTCCACAGTAGTACGTAGCAGAGTCTGAGAGTTGTATGTTTCTTATCACCAAATGATGCACACCCTTGTCATTCAGCACAGAGAAGCGTGAACTATTCTGGAAATTATGGTAAAACCGGGCTTTGTTGTCATACTTGTAAATGGTGGAGATGAGCCTGGGATTCTGTCCAAGTTTATGCTTGTACCATGAGAAGTGCATGGCCATTTGGCTTTGGTAAGAGCAAGACATATTAATGGTTTCTCCCAGTTTGACAAACACAGGTGGGTTATTTAGGTGCGATGCAGTAAGGCCTAAACAAAAATATTAAAAGTAACAAGCAAAAAATTGTTTAGCTTAAATTAATGTAAATACAGTTTAGTTCTGACATAAAAGACAGTTCAACTCACCGATTAAAAAGAGAAGCAAAAATCCGAAGTTTATCATATCTGGATGGATTTATCCTAAACTAGAAAGAAACAGGTGAGCAATGACAAAACGAACATCACCAGAGATGCAATGAATGATGTGAGCAACCAGTAGGATGTGTTTGTCAAAAAGTGCTGTACCATATATTTTTTTTTCCACTGATCTTTTCTTTCAGAGATGATTTCATAATCTACTTTTAATTTCTCAGACAAATAACTGCACATAGGTACAGCACCTACCATCAGTAAATACCTTTATATATGCAGTTTTTAAAAGAAGTATGTTTAAGGAATATTATTTCTAAAAACATAGACAAAGGCAGTGTGCTAGTTGTGGTTTTCTGCTGGTCATGTGGTAACTTGACCTTCTTAAGTTCTAAGTAAGTGTTTCTTGACTGCATACATAGCAGATGAAGGGAAATCAACACGTGATCATAAAACTGTGCAGTCATCAAAATTGCAGTCTGATTTTTTTAGTGAAGAAAGCAGACAGTGTAAATGTGTCAAATCTCTCTCGACAGGTGGGAGACAGGTAATGAAGGATGGACTGAACTCAATTCTGTGATGACCACAACAAAATCACAACGACATGCTCTATGCCAGGGCTGTCCAAACTCGGTCCTGGAGGGCCGGTGTCCTGCAGAGTTTAGCTCCAACTTGCCTCAACACACCTGACTGGAAGATTCTATGCCTAGTAAGAGCTTCATTAGCTGGTTCAGGTGTGTTTAATTAGGGTTGGAGCTAAACTCTGCAGGACACCGGCCCTCCAGGACCGAGTTTGGACAGCCTTGCTCTACACCAATAGCCTTGTGGCTTCACAGGTACACATCACATATTACTGTGTAGTATAGTTTATTTGGGTGAATTGACTTCAAATAACTCAAAAAGACACTTGACAAAATTCCTTCTATCTTTTGAAATACCTGAAACATCATCACTTGAGTAATGCAAATTTCTGCACGGCACCTGCAATGTCTGACAGCTTCATAGTACAAGGGTATGAAAGGCTATATAATATCATAATGTGGAAGGTTTTAATATGCTAAATAACTCATACACTTCAAGTCTTTATTTATTGCGCAAACAGGAGTGTTACACCACTGCAAAATGAAACAGAAATAACAAATAAAGGTGTTTATCATCTGTCTTTCTTTAATACTCATAACATTCATTTGCAATAATGCTTTTATCTAATCTGTGGTTTATTAGAATAAAATGATTTAATTTGAACAGATCAGGGCCCGTATTCACAAAACATTTTATCTTACCACTAAGAGTTCTCCTAAATAGCAGCAAAAGTTTTTAGCTAAGAGTTTTCTCTTAAAACCTATTCGCAAAGCTGCTGAGACAAACTTTTACTAAGGAATAGAGAGAAGTCTTAAGCTCAGAGTAAAGGGCGGGGTTGACCTCGTTGCTGTGGATGATGTAAGCATGCTTACTAACTATGCACACAGTGATTGGCTGATTGTCTTCATCAGAGATTTATTCATAGAAATATTGTAGAGTGCAAAATTACGTTGCCATATTCAAATAAAGGTTTAAAAATAAAAAATGTTAATTGCCACATTCGAATAAAGATTTAAAAATGCAGTATAAGTGCCAGAAATACAGAAGATACAGATGTTGTGTATTCTGCTACTAGATAGTCCAACAATGGCACACAGTCAAATACTGTAGCCTACTAAGGTTTAAAAGCCATAAGTTCATCAATACTCTAATATTTATATGCTATTACTAATGCCATACATTTTAATTGTATGTGAGCTCTGCAATGTTTAGTATTTTCGATGCAATAAAAGTTGTGAAGATCAAATGCATTTGAAAGTTCAGACCCTGACAGGAAGAAGCTGTTCAGTGTAGAATGAGACGTGCTGATGGGAACTTCAGCGGACCAGATTACACAGCTGTAAATATATACACTGAAACACAGCTCTACAAATTCTTACAATTATTATTAACTATATGCACACATTTCACGACAATGTAGTACTTTGTGAGCAGCAGCCGTATAGCCTGATCATTATGAATAATGATATTATTACTTAAGATAAATTTAAAGAAAATACTATTAAAACAATATTTAAATTTAATTGTGTAAACTATGTTTAAAAAAAATCACATAAAGGCTTTCTTAAATGTCTGTGTGCACCTGTTAGCATATGAGAGCATCACAGTTTGACTGTTTTCCACCCACCAGACTGACCCCCAGCTCATCACTCACAGCCCTCACTGCAGCTCAACCACACAAACACATCACACAACACGCCTTTCACACTACTTTGAGTCTAGACCAATAGCCTTGTGGCTTGACAGGTACACATCACATCAGCTTCATAGTACAAACTGTGAAAGGCTATATAATATGATAATGTGGAAGGTCTGTATGTCCTAAAAAGTTTAAACTCCAATTTCTTGTTTTAAACTACTAGTGGCCTCATGTCTGTTTTTTTGTCTTCTGTTCGCTTCTCATTGTTTTCTTTTGCACGTGTCTCATCTCTTGTAAAATATTTCAGATTTATTATAACTGAAGGAAAGTCCAGTGCAAAGCTCCTTAAGAAAAGTACAAATAAAATTAGAATAAAATTAAGAAACCTGTTAGTGATATAAAAGGACACAGACCTTTAACTTTAGCACCATCAGCCATATTTTTTTTATTTTATTTTTTGTTTATTTTTTATCGTGTTTTTATACGGGGTTTGTTTTTGTTTTTTCGTGTTATAGTGGTTTTATAAGGAAGCAAGATGATATGGAATGGACAGTTTTATTCCTGTTGTGGACGGCGTTTAATTTGGCGCAAACTTTGAGTGAGATGAAGAGTTGGGCTGCCTATTCAGCCTAATCCAGCGCGTATCTAGTGCAGCATAGATTTTCTCCTGCAATGGAATACTTTTCAAGCTAATGAACCTCCTTTGGATTTTACTTTTCCTGATCTCAGCTGTTTTGCCGAACAGTCAATTGGAAAAGGTAAACCTTCTGGCGAGTTGCCTTTCAAGCCAAGGAAGCGAGGTAAGCGCGGTGGAGTACGCCAAAGACTGAGAAAACAGTCTCTTTCCCACATCCCTCTACCTTCTATCATCCTATCAAATGCACAATCTCTCCTTGATAAAATTGATGACTTGCAAGCTCATGTACGATTTCAACATGAATTCTGAGATGCGTGTTTATTAGCGATCACTGAAACATGGCTCTCGGAATGAGATTTGGACAACGAAGTGGCCATCGACGGGTTTGGTGTGCCTGTGCGTCTCGATAGAGATGCAAGTGTGACTGGTATGTCACGAGGTGGGGGGAGGGGGTTGTTTATATGTGAATCCCAGATATTGTAAAAATGTTCAGGTCAGAGAAAGACTGTGCACTAGTAGTCTCAGCCTCAGACATCACGCCCACGGACCGTTGGCTAAACGTCTGATGCATATGGGACACAAAAGTGGAAACACTTCAGGAGTGTCGAAGTCGTCATCGGATTGGTTGAATTCTACAGGATTTCCGGGAGACGTGCATGTCACGTTCTTTAATGTTCCGTCTGGAAACAAAGGTGCCGTGATGCCAAACCCCCTCACGAAAGAAGAAAGCCGTAGTGTTTACAACTGTGACGACGAGCGCTTATCAGGATCAACTAAACGCTGGAGTTTCAAAAGTATGTGAAATATTTAAAGTTCGCGGCATAGAATCTTTAAAATACGTCAGAGAGTTTTACACACCGGTCTGTTATTGTGGCGACATTTCCACGCCCCAAAACGTGACGCTGAACGAAACGAACTGTGATTGGTTGTTTGACATGTTGGTCAAATGGCCTCATGGGCGGGCCTTGGCCAATGAAAGCTGCCATGGATTCCAGACCTTCAGCCGTCAGTCTGAAGGTCTGGCTACGTGAGACTAGTGCACTAGAGACGTTGAATTGCTGTCCATGTCTTTGCGTCCTACCTACTTCCCCCGCGAGTTTCCACAAATATTTGTTATGGTTGTATACATTCATCCAACAGCAAATGGGGATAGAGATTCAGAATCTATTTTGCGAGAAACTCAGAGACTGCAGTCTATATCTCCCGATGCTCCGATTTTAGTCCTCGGGGATTTTAATCACTGTCCGCTGGAAAGAACTTTAAGGGATTTTGATCAGTATGTTAAATGCCCGACCAGACAGAACAAGATTTTGGATCCGTATTATGGGTCTGTTAGAGGGGCATACAAAGCTCTCCCCCTTTCCCTGCTGGGAGGGGCTGACCATAACTGTGTTCAACTCATCCCGAAATATCGTACTGCCCTGAGGAGGACTAAACCAATTATTAAACGTGTGAAAGACTGGAATGATGAGTCCATTTTGTGCCTACAGGGGTGTTATGACTGTACAGACTGGGAAACATTCAAGGAGTCCTGCACCAATATTGATGAACTTACTGACGTTCAGGGGCGTGTCTACGTGGTGGCCAGGGGTGGCACCAGCCCCCCCTGAAATTTGGCTGGCCACCCCAGGTGCCCCCCCTACCAGATGTCTTGCGATAGGCTTGTTTTTAGTAAATTTCTAACTGCATCTGGCAGTGGCGGATCCTGGCATGTGTAGGCAGCTGCCTAGGGCCCCTTTCTTCCCTTCTTTATACTTAATTTTAGGCAGTTTCTATAGGGTGATCTTAATGACAATTTCGAGAGCGCATAATGTTACGCGATCCATGTGTGCGAGGACGAATCTCTCCACTCCCAAGCGGATTTCCTTCACTCACACAAAACTGGACGTGTGCTTTTAAATATTGTTCTTTTATGAATTGGTTCTGCTCTGTCACTCTTTGTTTAGTGAGTGTACACGATGTATTATAGCATATATCATTCTGCAAACACAACCCCCCTGGGATGGCATGAAAACTATCGCAGGCATAAAGAACAATTGAAATCTGAAGGTGACACTGAAAAGACAGACTTGTGACAGCCAGTTTGCACAAAAGTTTAATGAGTTTTATTTGAGGTTTGAAACTCACAAGTGGAGAAATGACATTTTACAGAGAAAAATTTATTTATGTGATGATGGTCCTGCTCCTTTTGATGTATGTGATGTGGTTAATATGTTCAAACACTCTAAAGCTAAGAAAAGCCCTGGTCCTGATAATATATGTAGTCATCTGCTTATTTCTTGTGCAGAGCAGCTGGGCTCTATTTTTTATTATATTTTCCAGTTGTCACTCAATCTTCAGAGAGTGCCAAACATTTGGAAACACTCTACAGTTATTCCAGTTCCTAAACATAATCATCCACAAGAGTTAAATAATTTCAGGCCTTTTGCTTTGACTTCTTTAGTTATTAAGTGTTTTGTAAGATTAATTAAAAAAGAACTCATCACAAAAACAGGGAATCTTCTAGACCCTTTACAGTTTGCAGATAGGGCCGGTTGAGTGGTAGAGGATGCCACTGCACCTTTGCTAAATTTGATTTTTAAACACTTAGAAGGAAGTAAAACATGCCAGAATTGTATTCGTGGATTTTTCATCTGCATTTAATACGATTCAACACCACATTTTAGTTGACAAGGTTTTAACTTTTGGTCTTGATCTTAATAGAGTTGGGTGGATTTTTTATTTTTTTAATAGATAGAACACAGCGAGTAAGGGTGAATGGGCATTTGTCTGAGAAGATGTCATCATCAGTGGGGTCTCCTCAGGGAAGTGTCCTTTCTCCCCTTCTTTACATTCTTAATACTGACGATTGTCGTAGTCAACATGATAACAGGTTTATTTTAAAATACGCAGATGAGTCTGTTTTAGTTAGTCTTCTTCATTCTGATGAAAATGATCACGGTCCTGTAGTCAATGATTTTGTTCATTGGTGTGATAGAGCGTTCTTGCAACTAAATGTTGCAAAGACAAAATAAATGCTCATTGATTTTAGACATAAATCCTGTTATTCAGAATACTGTTATTAAGGATCAATAGAAGTTGCGGAATCTTAAGTATCTTGGCAGTGTGATTGATCATTTGAAATTTGTAGCCAATGCGGAGATGATTGGTAAGAGAGCACAACAACGACTATATTGTCTTCGCAAATTGTCAAGATTTCATGTGGAATAGACTCTTATGTCCCTTTTCTATAAATCTTACATTGAGTCCATTTTAACATTTTCTGTAATATGCTGGTATGGCAATCTTAGTGTTAAGGCTAAAAATGCTTTGTCCAGAATAATAAAGGTCAGCAGTAAAATTTTAGGTACTGAGCAGAGTAGTCTTACTGACCTATATAATAGACAGGTGATGCGGAAAGCCAATTTTATTTTATCGGCCAGTGATCATCCCCTGTACTCTGAATTTGAGTTTTTACCTTCTGGTTTGCGGCTTAGATTTCCTTTAGTGAAGAGTAATTGTTACAGATGCTCATGTCACGGTTCCACTAGTAGCACATGTAGACATGAACAATACCGGAAACTGAACTAAAAACAGGGAACACTATTTAAACACATGACAAGACGAGGGGATGACGAGACATACCTGGGATCAATGGAAATAAACAGGGAACACCTGGAATTAAATCAACATAATCAGGACAGGTAATAGTGAAGGTTAGTGGCTATTTTTATTTTTATTTTTGGTGGGGTGGGTGAAGTTGTAAATTGTATTATTAGGCTTGTGTTTTTTTTTTTTGTGTGCTTTTTATGTTTGTCTGTATGTCTTGCTGCAAAAATAATTGCACTTGGGGGACATGAATAACGTTGAATGAATGAATGAATGAATGAATGAATGAATGAATGAATGAATTCATCCACACACATCTGTTAGCTATCAACAGTGCATCTGAAATGGTAAATGTTGGTCCTTTAGTGGTGCAAAGCATTCAGCACATGTTTTAGAAGCATTATGCATTAGCATTTGTGATTTAAAGACTTCATGTCATCACTCCCTAATCTAAGCCCACCCACCATCCAGCCAAGTGTTTTTGTAGACAAAAGAAGGGTGCTGGCTATGATTTTGAAAACCACTAGAGGGCTGTAGTGAGGAACGGTAATTGCTCAGATTTTCTAATACATTTTAACTTTAAACTGCATATGAGAAGGGTTTAATAGCGAGTAAAATAATACATATGTTCTGCATACTTCATTTGACTTGCAAAGTGCATAAGCAAGCCTACTGTACAGGCTTTGGATAGGTCCAACACCCATCACTAAGTGTAACATCATATATAGTCCAGCAGATGTGCAACCTATTTTAGAAAATAGACAATAGGTTTCTCAAAGCAGATGTTTAACAATTTCATTTATATGCAATATAAAAATATGGATTACAAACAATGAGCTGAAAATACAACAGATGGCCAAGCACGTATTGTAGATATTAATAGACATGTCTAAATAAATATATCTCCAAAAAACTCCAAGCCTCCTTCCAAATGTACAATAACAGCCTACTACACTTCTCATTTATAAACATTGTACATGCTTACACACACACACAAATTTAGTTGTAATAATATCATTAATATATATTATTAATTTCACTAAGATATATCACATTTAGTTAATGCTTCCATTTGCTAAACTAATTCATCCAGAAAGTAGCAAACATTTTCAGAGCACTGAAAAAAACACCAGCTAAACATTATAGTGCAATGAGGCCTTCATCAGAGCATATTTTGCTTTGCAGCTATATCACATACGGGCCTGACCACCCTGACTGGCCTTTTCATTGATAGGTCTACCATAGTTTGGCTGTTGCAAAAGCCACTCCTCCTTATATATAAAACATTGATATCGCCCACTTAATTTCCTTTTCAGCTCTGTTTTGACTCAGTGCAGAAATGTTACATATTTCAGCTGCAGCTTTATTGCTCTTTGGGACAGGTAAGAATTATTTTCCACTGTGAACTACAATACTATGATAAGTAACACTTTATACATTTAAAATGAGGTGATATTGAAATGGGGAGACACTTATTTTAAAATTAATGATATTGTTTTTTGGTGTGCTATTGTTTTAGTTTTCTTGTTTAATGATTTTCAGGTTTTCTCCGAGTTATGTTTTCTACAGCAAGCATTCAGACTCATCCAGGACAAAGTATCACTATGTGGTGTCCACACAATATCCATGTTGCTGGAAATCTGTACTGGTTCAAACAATCAGACGGTGCTGTACCCATTACTATTGTGCACATGTTATACACCGAAATTCTTCAGAAGGTTGAGCCAAATTATTTCAACAATTTCACAAATGATTGCATCGTCATGGATCAGTTCAGCAAAAGCACCACCCTAACAATTAAGCAAGTGAAAATTTCTGATTCTGGCTTCTACTTTTGTGGAGCTACAGGTTATCACATGACATTTGGCAATGGAACCAGGCTTGAAGTAAAAGGTAATCTTTTTCAACCTCTCTCACTATACTCTAATTTTTATATACTGTTTATATCTCTTTTTTTCTCACTTTGTCATTAACAGCACATGTTGAAAAACACCACAATTTAAATACTATTGTAAATGCCACAATGGTAAATGACTTGCCAACTGTTTTCATATCAGAGAAAAATTTCACAGGAACATCAAAAAAGGGTATGTTATTTTACTTTCAATATTAAAGTTAAAACTGTAGGTGTTTAGTTTATGAATGTTCGTGTTTAATCTCTCTAATCAAATTATGGAGGAAAATAAATACACAAAATGTGATCTTTGTAGCATCGCTTAAAAGGTTTCATTAAAATTATATCCACTCTTTTACAGATCATGAGCAATCACCCGTGTCTACTGAGGAGTGTTCTAGAGACATCTATTTCAAACTGACCCTCCTATTTGGTGGAATAATTTTTTTTACATGTATCGTTCCTCTTATTTTGGCGATTATCAGGGAACACAGAAGACAGAAGCATAAAAAAGGTAAACTCTTTTCACATGGTTAAAAAGATCAAGTTAAATCACAAATGTGGAATGAACATAAAAAATGGCTTTAGACATCATTTTCAAATCTCTCATTATCTTAAGAGCAACTGATTGTCTTTTTCTCTGCTTTGTGACAGTCGCTGAATGTAAAGCACAACAGCATGAGGACAAGGTAAATTACACAGACTTATTTTACTCCAAGGGCTAAGAAAAACTATTTAAAGACAATCCCAGTTTCACCATAGACATGAAAACAAGCAAAGCTTTGTTTTATACCAGATCACACTTTCTTTTTTTATTATAAATAACAAAATATTTAATTATTTTATAAATTAATTACTGCTCTACCTCTTCTATGAGTCATTAATTACTGTTATATGAGGGTTTTTGTATTGTATTGTGTGTGTGGTATCAACTATTATCTTATGATTCTGATTGAACAAAACGTGAATAGTTGCATTTTCTACTTTTTGCTGTAGAATTTATTTTTGGAGGCTAAGGAAAAGGAAAACAGTATCAAAGGCTCCAGAATAAAAATAAAAGTTGTTATATGACCACCTGGATTAGAATCTTGACATATACATGTTTGTACTTCTTTGCAGGAAAATGATTCAGTAGAATATGCTGCTGTGTATTTCTCAAACAAAAGACCCAAAACAGGAGGACGACATACTGAGGACCCAACTGCTGTGTACACTGATAATACTTGAAACATAAAACAAACTCAAACATATTATTAATTTATTACCTATGGTTTATTTTTAACAGCTAAATATTATACCTGTTTAAAGAAATTTAATTATTGAGGCGGTCAGAGAACTGTATTTTCTTTGCATTGCTGTACATAATGGTGAAGTTTATTAAAATCGCGTTGCAGTTTACTTCGACTCCTGATATTAATTCAATCTGACTCTAGATCACAAAGTCCTTGAATTTATATTCCAAATAAACATCAGTGTTTTATATTGAATCTCAATTTGGATGCAGCTTAAAGTGTCACACTGGCCATTATAAAATAATTTCGTAGTCCCAAACACACCAGTTTTGATCAGTCATAGTAGTGTTAACTAATAACATTTAAAGTTTTTTCTTGCACATAACCAATAGTAGATCTGCTTAGTCACTTTCATACTCTTCAAGTCAAACGGTTAGGCAGAAAGCTACAGTCCCGACTGAGTGTCACCTGCTCCATTAAACTCTGGGGCTTCAGAGAATTTAAATCAAGATAAAATCAAGTTTAACAATTTGTGGGCAAGGTAAAATGTCTTTCAATAATATAATTCAGAAATGATCAATAAAAGATATGTTCAAAGATACATTAGAGTCAAACATGCATTTTATTTCTTTGTAAACCTGCTTTGGAATAATTTATTTTCAAAAGTGCTATGGGGAAATGAAGGGGTGCTAAAGCAGTAAAGAAATCATCACATCATTATCAATATCTGATCAATAATTATACTTCTTATTTTGAACTGGCAATAGTAGTCGTGGACTCGCCTGTTGATTGACAGGTTTGTCATAGTTTGCTGTAAGCATAAGCCACACCCCCTCACATAAAAAAGTACATTGATTTCCTCAACATAATTTCCTCTTTGCTTCTAGTCTGATTCATTACAGCAATGGTTCATTTAATCATTTCAGCGCTGTTGATCTGTGGCATGGGTGAGCATTTCTTCACTATAATTACTTCAATTATGTAAGATTAATGAATGATTAATTCAATAATCATTAGTAAGCATTAGGTGTGAGATAGTTCTATATGCTTTAAAAGTATTTTTGTACTTTTTTTAGAGCATTTTATTGTAAGTTATCAGGGTTTTAAATATGAATATTAAAACACTGTTATTCCTCTGTGGGTTTTAGGCTTGCTTACAGCTGTTAAATCATCTCAGATAGTCAATTTGTCAGCTCAACCAGGAGAAAATGTCACTATTTGGTGTCAACACACCTCAGAAACCGGAATCAACATACACTGGTTCAAGCAAACAAACAGTTCTGTACCTATTGCCATTGTATACATGATGATAAGCTACCAGCTTAAGGAAATACACAAAATGTATTTAAATGGTTTTCAACAAGATCGTCTGCTGATGACTCTGAACAGTAAAAACAGCTCCCTGAGAATTTTAAATGTGGCTGTTTCTGATTGTGGTCTGTACTTCTGTGGTTGGGAAAGCCGGATTATTGCATTTGGTGATGGAACACACCTAGACATTAAAGGTAATCTGTCATTATCAGTACCACTATTGTAGAGGAATTTTTTGCTCCATGTCTAGCAGCAAAATATAAAAAATACATTACATAATACATAATACAAATACACGTGGATAAGTTTTAATATGCTAAATGACTCATACATTTCAAGTCTTCTTTTATTGCGCAGAGAGGAGTGTTACACCACTGCAAAATGAAACAGAAATAACAAATAAAGGTGTTTATCATCTGTCTTTCTTTAACATGCATTTGCATTAATGCTTTTATCTAGCCTGTGGTTTGTTACAGTAAAATGTGATTTCATTTGAACAGATCTCAAGAAGAGCTCGATTTCAACAAGAGACTGTTCTGAAAACCTATTTTATAAACTGACCTTTATTTTTGGTGGTATTATTGTTATACTCATCATCATTCCATTCATCATGCTCATTATTAAAATACAGAACAGAAACAACCAGGGAAAAGGTAACAGTCTATTCAATTCAAAAGATTTACTTTGGCAAATGACATAATTGTAAAAAAAAAAATTAATAATCATAATAAATAAAAGCTTTTTTTTTCTGTTGCCGCAGGTGCTGATCGCCATGTAACACAACATCATGAGGTAAACTTTTCATTAAAATAAACATTTACATTCCCTAAATATGGAAAAATTTCATTCAAATTCATTACCAAAAGTTTTTTTTTTTTTAGATGTCCTTTAAGGTCTGCAACATGTATAGGAAGAGTATGTAAAATGTCAAAAATTCTTGAACAGTTGAAATTAAAGACTAGGCTGACTGGTGTACAAAAAGATTTCAATGCACAAATCTCTGCTATTGAAAGGAGTTATAATGAGAACAGTTCACTATAATTACTTCAATTATGTAAGATTAATGAATGATTAATTCAATAATCATTAGTAAGCATTAGGTGTGAGATAGTTCTATATGCTTTAAAAGTATTTTTGTACTTTTTTTAGAGCATTTTATTGTAAGTTATCAGGGTTTTAAATATGAATATTAAAACACTGTTATTCCTCTGTGGGTTTTAGGCTTGCTTACAGCTGTTAAATCATCTCAGATAGTCAATTTGTCAGCTCAACCAGGAGAAAATGTCACTATTTGGTGTCAACACACCTCAGAAACCGGAATCAACATACACTGGTTCAAGCAAACAAACAGTTCTGTACCTATTGCCATTGTATACATGATGATAAGCTACCAGCTTAAGGAAATACACAAAATGTATTTAAATGGTTTTCAACAAGATCGTCTGCTGATGACTCTGAACAGTAAAAACAGCTCCCTGAGAATTTTAAATGTGGATGTTTCTGATTGTGGTCTGTACTTCTGTGGTTGGGAAAGCCGGATTATTGCATTTGGTGATGGAACACACCTAGACATTAAAGGTAATCTGTCATTATCAGTACCACTATTGTAGAGGAATTTTTTGCTCCATGTCTAGCAGCAAAATATAAAAAATACATTACATAATACATAATACAAATACACGTGGATAAGTTTTAATATGCTAAATGACTCATACATTTCAAGTCTTCTTTTATTGCGCAGAGAGGAGTGTTACACCACTGCAAAATGAAACAGAAATAACAAATAAAGGTGTTTATCATCTGTCTTTCTTTAACATGCATTTGCATTAATGCTTTTATCTAGCCTGTGGTTTGTTACAGTAAAATGTGATTTCATTTGAACAGATCTCAAGAAGAGCTCGATTTCAACAAGAGACTGTTCTGAAAACCTATTTTATAAACTGACCTTTATTTTTGGTGGTATTATTGTTATACTCATCATCATTCCATTCATCATGCTCATTATTAAAATACAGAACAGAAACAACCAGGGAAAAGGTAACAGTCTATTCAATTCAAAAGATTTACTTTGGCAAATGACATAATTGTAAAAAAAAAAATTAATAATCATAATAAATAAAAGCTTTTTTTTCTGTTGCCGCAGGTGCTGATCGCCATGTAACACAACATCATGAGGTAAACTTTTCATTAAAATAAACATTTACATTCCCTAAATATGGAAAAATTTCATTCAAATTCATTACCAAAAGTTTTTTTTTTTAGATGTCCTTTAAGGTCTGCAACATGTATAGGAAGAGTATGTAAAATGTCAAAAATTCTTGAACAGTTGAAATTAAAGACTAGGCTGACTGGTGTACAAAAAGATTTCAATGCACAAATCTCTGCTATTGAAAGGAGTTATAATGAGAACAGTTATAAACTATAAAAAATAACTTTTCTATTAACAGTGTTTTTCAATATTACTGTTATGTCCATAGCATTCTTAAGTGAAATAAAGTATGTGTTTTGAGATGTTATGGTCTATGGACCTGCTTCTCTTTTCTGTTTAGCTCACCGTGTCTTTAAAAAGGGCTGCATGGTTGAAATCGTTTTGTGAAAATACAACTGTTGAGCAAAATATAGCTCTGTCTTAGGGAAATTTAATATGGTTAATTCTTAAAAGTAGACATAAAGCAAAAAAAAAAATTAATAAAGTAAAGCTTGGGTATAAAGTCTGTTTTATTCTGTATGTGTGGGGTACAGCAACAATATCAGCTAGAAAAATAAAATAAAAAATCCACATTCCCAGTCTATTTACCAGCTGTCCCCAACATCACAATTAGCAATAAATTGTAAATTCTAACACCAGAGAATGTATTCGGATGCTAATAAGTCTTTATGTATATGTATGTATATAAAGCCAATGGTTTTTTTTGCTTTTATGATTTTCTTCTGAATTAAATTTAGGGTGCTTTCACAATAGCACTTTTGGTGCGCACCCAGGTTCGATTGACGTCAGCGTTTGGTACGTTTGAATGATGGGAACGCTGTCTTCCCAACTCGGGTGCACAAAGGGGTGGTCTGGGGTACGGTTCAAGTGAACTCCAGTACGGTTTGCTGCTGATATGAATGCAATCGTATTAAATCGTGGAAGTGAACCGCTATTCATGACGTATTATTTGATAAATTGAACTCTGGTTCAGACCAGGCAACTGAACCAAGTGTGAAAGCACCCTAAATGTCATTACAGTCATCTTTCAATCTGTTGCAGGAGCCTCATTCATCAGTGTATGCCGCTCTACAGTTCTCAAAACACCAGAAAAAATCCAGAAGAGCAGCCAGAAATACAGTGGATACAGATGTTGTGTATTCTGCTACTAGATAGTCCAACAACGGCACACAGTCAAATATTGTAACCTACTGTAATGTTTAAAAGCCATATGTTCATCAAGACTCTAATATTTATACGCTATATTACTAATGCCATACATTTAAAGTGCATGTGAGCTCTGCAATGTTTAGTATTTTTGATGCAATAAAAGTTGCACAGATAAAACGCATTTGAAAGTTCTAAGAAGTTTAATTTAGATATGTTTATGTTCTCTGTCATTAAGATATAAGCAGGCCCTTTCTCAAGAGGCAGGGGTTGTGAAATATATAATTTCCTATACAGACCCTGACAGGAAGAAACTGTTCAGTGTAGAATGAGACGTGCAGACGGGAACTTCAGCAGACCAGATTTCAAAGCTGTAAATATACACACTGAAACACAGCTCTACAAATTATTAAAATTATGCACACATTTCACAACAATGTACTTTGTCAGCAGCAGCCATATAGCCTGATCGTTATGAATACTGATAATATTACTCATGACAATTTAAAGAAAATGCTATTAAAACAATATTTACATCTATTTTAAAAGTGTGTAAACTTTATTTTAATAAAAAAATCACATAAAGGCTTTCTTAAATGTCTGTGTGCCAGTGTGTGCACCTGTTAGCATATGAGAGCATCACAGTTTGACTGTTTTCCACCCACCAGACTGACCCCCAGCCCTCACTGCAGCTCAACCACACAGACACATCACACTACACGCCTTTCACACTACTTTCCATAACCACAGACAAAATACCCCTTGTTTTTAAGTGAGGTTAGTCACAGATGACAGTAAATTGAATTTAAAAAAATATATATATATTTTTTTATCCTTAAACAATCAACAATTATGCCTACCCTTGCACACCTGAAGGTAATCGATAGGTGCATAGGGAGAAAAATAAACATAAAAAGGTCCAATTAAAAGAAGAAAAATAAATCCTGCACACTATCCTCACTTGGAAATATATAAAAAATAAATGTATTCATGAAACGTTATATGTGAATACATTTATTTTTTATATATTTGCACATGTATCCTTGTCAGACATTACAATTCCCATATTTTTAATGCTTAATATATATAAATGTGTGTGTGTGTGTGTGTGTGTGCATATTTATGTGGTTTATGGAGGACACAAATTTGTATAATAACATGGGTATGACATAGGTATTACAACGAGAAGGTGATTTATGAGGACATTTTCAGTGTCCCTGTAATTCAAAAGGCTTATAAATAATTCAGAATTAGTTTTTTTGAAAATCTAAAAATGCAGAAAGTTTCCTGTGAGGGGTAGGTTTAGGGGTAGGGTTGATAAAGGGCAATAGAAAATACGGTTTGTACAGTATAAAAACCATTACGCCTATGGAGAGTCCCCATAAACCATAAAAACAAACCTGTGTGTGTGTGTGTAAAAATAAAAAATAAAATTATAAATAAATGCAACTTTCAAGAGTAGCATTTTCCAGGCCAGGCTCAGTAATAAAATCACCACTGTGCTCCACTGAATCTTGACATCTTTGCTTCTATACAAGTGCCATTATTTAATAGTCATACGGTGATCTAATATAGTAATATGTCTTTTTTTCTCGTATGGTGTTTTGAAGTCTCTGTCAATGCAATTTTGTCACAAAGCACTGTTAAAATGTGCAACTGCATGAATACCACGTTAGTTCCTTTCACACATTAACTAATGGTTTCAGAAACAGACTTATGCCACTAAATACATATAAGATGGTGAATTGATGATGAAGAGATGATGCACAGCGCTCAGGCTGCGGTCAAGCTTATGTTTCTGAAAGTAACACAGAATAAACAAGCAGCCTTAAGTGTGCTTAGGTCTCTGTGGGTAAAAGTTTCCATACATCGTCTTATTGCAGTAAAACGAAAGAGTCAAATTGAAGTGTAAACATCTGAAATCTGGCTATATTTAGAGATTCTCCTCCAGCATTACCAAGCAACCATCTATTAATAGTGATTATTCAAGAACCTTTTTTAATATAGTGAATCACCATGCATACGCATTTTTTTTTTTTTTTTGCATGTGGCAGAATGTGCCTCATGCAAATAGGAGATGGTACTTTAACACGCTAACAGAAGGCGTGAGTTTGAAATTAATTCCATATTTCATATTTCTTAAAGTTCTTGCTAAAGCCCATTTGTAATATCAAATGTTAATATTTATTCAATCCCATAATGCACCGCAATAACAAATGTACAGCCGATGTACACTCAGCGGCTAGAGAATATCCATAATGCACTGTGATTTAATTCCTGCGTCTCGCAAGAAGATGGTGCCTGCAGATCAGATGAGTCATCCATTCATCCATTTTCCAAATGGCTTGTCCAAAGTGGGTACAGCGTAATATCATACAGGTATAAATTTATATATTGATTGATTTTTAAATAGTTTCATTAAGGTTTATGCTAGTTTCCATGACAGAATTCGAGATAAATCTTTTCATTACTAAAGGAGCTGTCAGTTTGCTAAGTTTCAAATGATTATTAAACAGCAAGCACAATGCAAAAGCGGCAGCCCTTCTGACGCACTCAGTGTCCGAATATGCTCACACGTTTTCATTCCCTCCTTCAACTGGACTATATAAGTGCACTAATGTAGGGAATAGTGAATGAGGTTAAAGATGGGTGATTTCAAACACAACACTTAATTACTTTTGTTCAGGTGTGTTTAATTAGGTTTGGAGCTAAACTCTGCAGGACAGTGGCCCTCCAGGAACAGGTCTGGACCCCCCCTGACCTACAGTGATATACAGTATGTTATTAGACTGAGTAAACAACTACTGCAGAGGATCTTAGAATTTACAAAATATGCTTTTATTTGCATTAAAATAATATTATTGATAGCATTATTTTATTGCATTAAAATAAATTTGAGGGATTCTTATATTTTGAGGGAAACTGACAGATCAAAGAACTGGATGAAAGTTGCTCTGTAGTGGTTTGACAGAAGGGAGGTGCTTTGAGCCTGTGTTTTTCCAATGACTGCACATAGGGGGCACCAGTTCATTAGTTGACATGTTTTACAGGATAATATTGTTAGTGGTCATGTTAGTGGACATGTTCTGAGGGGTTAAATAATAGATTAGGCATCAAAAAGCATGCAAAGTGTGTCCAACAGCCATGACAGACTTAATTATATGGAACAGCTCATTACTGGTTGAGCTACAATATTTAAATGTTCCCTGTATTTCTAGACTACATACTACATATAAACTTAATTTTGTGAGTATAATGTTATTGAAACAATGACTGGCTATCAATAAGGTTGATCAAATAACACGGGACCCGTTTTGTTTTTTGTTTTTTTCATTCTGAGCTTACTGTGTAGCAAGGAAATACAGAAAATTAAAGGTCAAAAACTACTAAAAATGAGAGTTCAGAAGAACTAAAAATTACCAGTTGATCATTAGGAGACACCAGAACCAGATTCACAGAGGCTCCAATAATGAGCATAAGAACAAAAGATAAGCCACATCACATGCTATATGTCTTGGGTCAGAAGGCCTGAATGGAAAATTGACAACAGCCAATCACACTTCATCTAAATCAGAAAGACAAGTCTTGATTCCCCAAAACCCAAACGTTTCACACCCACACATCATACAAACACTCAGTAAGATGTTGCCAAATGCACAGCAGACCTCAACTACTGTATGTTTAAAGTACTTCTGATATTTTTTCTACCTTTTAGGACAGGTGTGTTTGCTATGGAAGAGAGATTTGTTCTCCAAAGTTAATTCTCACCTTATAATATTTAGGAAACTGTTATGATACAGTTCTGACGATACTGTTTGTACCTTTTCCCTCTCAGGCTTCATCGCATCTGCTGCTGTAGTTCAAAACAAAGTCCTGGAGACCTTTACTGCTAAACTATAACTTTAGAGTGCTTGATATCTCAACACCATGAAAACGTTTACTCCTGGTTCAAGCAATCTCTGGGAGAAGCTCCAACATGCATCCTCAGTCTCTATGCTGAAACTTCAACACCAACATTTTATGGAGACTTCAAGAACGACAAGAAATTGTCAGTTCTAAAGAGAGGAAATATTTTTGCTCTAACCATAAAAGATGCAAAGCCATCAGATACTGGAATCTATTACTGCGGTGCCCGTGACTATGATCTCATAACTTTTAGTTGTGGGCTGTTTTTAAACTAAAGGTGAAGAGCTTGAAAAAAGTCCACACATTCAAACATCAAAGAGGCACAAGCGAGATGAAAACGATATAAGCAATTTACTGAGTGAAACAAAGGCAAACGTTTCGGTCACATGTTGACCATTTTCAATGCCAACCTAACAATGTTAGAACTAGGAGCCATCTTAATTTGAGGAATCACATGATAATTAAAGAGATCACATGATCAATCAGGACACACACACTGATCCAAAAAAAAGAAAGAAAAGAAATAGCCACAATGTGTGTATATGTAAAGCAATGGATAATCTACATCAAATTAGAGAACAATGGTTGTCTGTTGGAGTTAACAAAAGTACAATTCATAAAAAAAAACAAGACAATTGAAGTTCTTCATTTAATCCCTTCGGATATACACAGTCCATATAATAGATCCACTTAGCTTCACATTTGATCAATCTCTGAATACCAGTAAATCTCATATCACTAAGTTTATGGTCAGCATCCGCTGTTTTTAAACTACAAATGTAAGAAAACCTAGCAAAAAACAGTCATATTGCATCTCCTGAAGAAAAAAAATCACTATGAACAATGAACATCTAAATAATGTAATAATTCTCTAATTTCAGGGTTAAATACAAAACAACATCATATTAAGCAGTTTTTGTCTGCAATGGACTCGGGTACATGGGTAAATAAGAATGAGTTTAAAGGGGTCATATGATGTTGCTAAAAAGAACATTATTTTGTGTATTTGTTGTAATGAAATGTGTTTATGCAGTTTAAGGTTCAAAAAGCACATTATTTTCCACATAATGTACACTATTATTTCTCCTCTATGCCCCGTCTTTCTGA